CCTGAGGGACAGAGGTGTGGGGGAGAGGGAGGGAATGAGTGCTCCAGGATCAACCTTCAGGAGAGCTGGCGATAAAATTAAGGGGGAGGCAGGCAGCGTTGATTCTTGTATTGGGAAGGTGGCCTCCAACTTCTCCACTTGATACCCAAAGCTGGTATACCCACACCCAACAGGAGGGATCCGGGTTTGAATCCCTGCCCCTTGCCCCTCTTGCCCTTCGCACCATGCATATACTTCAGCTCTATCCAGAGCTCCACTGGCACGTCATGGGCTGGGCATGGGCAGCTGGCCCAGAACTTCAGCCAGAACTTGGTGATCAAGAAATGGACAGATTCTAAGAGGAGTTAAGATTGAGGGTTTGTCTAACGTTAGCAATTATATTTTATTTCCAGTACCATAAGTGTCTGCTTTTACTTTTATGTTTAGTTGGCACATTGCTGAATTGTGAAATAGAGGTCAGCAAGATTCCTTTCTTACAGACATAGGACTCGAGGCTTCATAATGGAATTGGCTCATCCCCGACAGACCCACAGCACCGGCATCAGACTGCCTCCCTTCTGGACCCAGCAAGGACACCCTTGTTTACCAAGAGCCCCACAGACTCCTCAGCTGAGTGGGAAAGGGAGGGTGCCACACACGCCCCACAGCAGGTCTAGCCTCTCTCTGAGCTCCTCCAGGGCTTGGCAGCCGAGGTGCTTTCCCTGGAATGTTCCGCCATCCACAAGGTGATGGCCTGGAAACTTCTGTTCCATTGAAGTCTGCCAGGGAGCTATACTTAGCTACCCAGTGGAGGCTGAGAGTGGTTCTCTGAATATAGATAGTAACAAGTGGGCTATTTTCAAACTTTCAGAGAGCCCCCAAATGGGCCAAATGATATTTATAGAGCCCTTTGGGGTCTGGAAGGGAAGGCATAACCTTAGTGCATCTGTAGTTTCAAGGGAAAGGTTTCTTTCAGCAGGGAGTGGGGTGAGGGATCCAGCTACTGAGAGACTGGGTGTCCCTCTCAGAACTGTGTCCAGGGCTTGAGCGCATGGAAGCCAGGAACTCTTGCCTGAGTCGGAACAGAGTGGAGGCCTGCCACTCCCAGTCATTTTCTTCCTTGTGCACTGTGGCGCCACCCTGCTCACCTGTCACTTGCCATATTGGAAGCACTTTTCATTGAGAGCCCATTCCATGGTTTTTCTCTTGTCTAGAAGCCTCTTGATTTCTTAGGCTCCTGCTTTTCCTCAGACTTAACCAGACCAATCAAAATACCTGCTTCTAACTCCATCAGCCTTGGGCTCCCACCTCGAGGAGAGGTTCCAACAACTGCCTGGAGTAGTGTGACCAAAAGGCTTTCTTTAGGCCCAGCTTCTGTGGCTCAGTGGTTGAGTATCGACCTATGATCCAGGAGATCGCGGTTCGATTCCCAGTCAGGGCACATGCCTGGGTTGTTGCTCCCAATAGGAAGCATGCAGGAAGCAGCCGATCAATGACTCTCTCATCACTGATGTTTCTCTCTCTCTCTTTCTCCCTTTCACTTCCTCTCTCTAAAATCAATAAATTTTTGTTGTTGTTTTTAAAAAGGCTTTGTTTAGGGAGAAGAGTGGGAATGTGATGAGTAAAGATTTGAGTAGCAGGGGGGCCAAATGGTGGTCTCCCTAGAAGAGAGTTGGCCATGCCAACATCACTCGGGAACAAATGTGGATGAGCCTTAGTTCCCTTTTTGACTCTCATTCTGTAGATGTAGAGAGGGGCTCCAGAAACCCAAATGTTAAATGGACATCCAGATTAATTCTAATGCTCAGGCTAAATAATGAGGGAAGGCGGGGCAGAGTGGGAAGCTATGAGCCCCAAGGGTGCAGCAGGCAGCACGGCCCGTGGGAGACGTGGTGGCCTTACCATCTGACTGTAGTCGACTAGCTTTGAGTGGGACGTCCCCCCCATTCATTCCATGTCAGTTTCCTGGCAGGTGCCAGGGCCTTTCCTCACCCCTCTGCCAACCGATGCTCCACTACCCCTGCCCTACACCAGACCAGATATAAATATAAGAGCATTTTCCATGGGCCGGCACAGAAGGGCAAACATTTGACTTTATTTTAGGCCTGTGAAATTCCCTTCCTTCATACCCAACAGGTGCATCGCTTCATTTAGATATTGGGGCCCAGAAATAGAACACAATTTACAATATAGCTTCCTTCAGGCATCTGGATGCTATTTAAAAAAAAAAAAAAAGGCCTCCTGTGAGCTGGCTGGGCTCAGCACAAACACTGGCTGGAGCTTTCACCTTTGCCAGGCTTGGGAGAGGCACCCACCCCCATCAGCTTGACCCTGCTCAGCAGAGGGGCCAGGTGCCTCAAGAGACAGTTTGGGGGCAGGATCACCCTGTTAGGGTATAGGCCTCTTCTCATCCCTGCAGGGTCCCCAGATAGGACGCTGGAGAGAAGGGGGACATTCACTGAGCAGGGGGACTCAGACCTTCGGAGGAGGTGTTTCTAGTAACTCTGCCAGTAAGAATCCACTGTCCCACTTGGTTCTTTGTGGACTGGGGCAGATAGGATTCGACTCTCCTCACCTTAAGCCCAAGCACAGGACCCACCTGACATCTCTTGGCAAACCATGTGTTCTCATCAGTTGTTGGGGGGTGAATGGTGTCCCCTCAATTTACATGTTGAGGTCTTACCCTCCAGTACTTCTGAATATGGCCTTATTTGGAAAGAGGGTCATTGCAGATGTAGTCAAGATGAGATCATTACAGGGTGGGTCCTAACCCAGTATATCTGGTTTCCTTATAAGAAGGAGAAATCTGGACACAGATGCATGCCAGGAGAACACCATGTAAAGATGGAGGGAACGATGGGGTGATGCTTTATAAACAAAGGAACATAAAAGATTGCCAGCAGATCAGCAGGACTGGGAGAGAGGCCTGGACAGATTCTCCACAGCACCAGAAGGAGTCAGCTCTGCTGACACCTTGATCTCAGGCTTTTGGCCTCCAGGACTATGGAAGAATAAATTTCTGCTGTTTAGGCTGCCCAGTGTGAGGGACTTTGTTACAGCAGCCATGGCAAACTAATACATTAGCTAAATGGCACATTCCCACTCTCAGAAGCATCTTCATTCCACTGGCTGAGATGGTCTGGTATAGGCCTGGGTGGTCTGCATCATCAAGGTAACCTTGGCCCAAAGAAGCCAAAGACCAAGGTCAAGTTTCCTCTGGGATGACCGAAGGCCCCTCCGATGGCCGTCATCAAACCAGCCATCAGGATCTTTTATCCCTGAGGAGCATCAGGTGGAATCTACAGTGGGGGCCACCAGGGTGCTGGGACTGCAGCAGAGGTGGCTGCAGAGTAAGATACTTGGCACCCAGTGTGGTCCTGGTAAACGCTCCTGAATGTTCTCATAGGCAGAGGAGCCTCAGCAGGGCTGGTGGCTCAGGGCTGAGAGAGGGGGACCTCTGCAGCTTGCTGTGTGGTTCCCTTCCCAGACTAGGACCAAGGGGCCTCAATCTCCCTTGGCTGGGACCAGAAGTGGAGCTGCTGACAGCAAGCCATCCTTCTTACAGAGAGGAGCAGGTATCCCCTCCCAACATCAAGGACTCAGTCAGTCTCCATTAGACTCAGGCCTCCTCCTTTCGTCTTGGATGCCGCCCTCCCTCCAGGGTCCTGCTGGAGACTGTTAAGACAAGCTGGCAAGAGGCAGGACCAGCCTAGGAGTGAGAAGAGGCCAGCTATGAGAAGAAAATGACACCACTATGCTGGGGCAGTGGGCCCAGGACACCGGGGTGGGGGGAGGGGGTTCTTATGTGTTGGCATCTGAGTCAGTTTGGGAAAGTATGTGTGTCCAGGGCAGGGTCAAAGGTCTGGGCCACTCGCTCAGTTCATAGATGCCTGTGGCCTCAAGAGAGGACATGGGGAAAAAAGGCAACAGTACTGTGGGCAGATGTGGAGACACGGCCCCTTGGTGAGATGGTACAATGAAGACATCTTTATGGAGACATCCTCTAGTTCTCTCTCCTTAGACCTTGGGGAAAATGAACCCCCAGCCATGCAGTGCTCACGGCCCACCCTGGCCCTTTCTTCCAGCCCTGGTTTCCTCACACCTCTTGCAGGCCCTCACTCATCCCCAGCCCCAGTCCATGCCCTTCAGTTATTCTTACACGCTGGTTGATACTGTTCCCATCACTCGTCTCTTTCTTCCAGAAGAAGTCACCCCTGATCACCTGGACCCTGCCTCTTGCAGCCTCACTCCCAGTCCCATAACAATGTCACAGCTCAATGCCCTGACCCCTAGTCTCCTCCTCCTCCGTGGCCAGGGATCCTGCTGCCTCTGGAGAATTTCTCAGAGCTCGGCTTCCTCCGTAGACTCGGGACTGGGAAGATGCAGACCCTCAGAGGACAGAACAGGCCTGAGTGCATGGACTCTTTATTGCCCCACAATAGTGGATGGGGGCCTAGCTGCTGGTCCTCCCGGTGCTACTCCATCTCAGGGACAGCCCAGCAAGATGGGGAGGGTGTGTGTGTGCCTGTGTGATAGGAGGCAGCGTGGCCCAGATTCCAAACCAAAGTCGGGGAGGTGAGTCTTGAGGTAGCTCTGCCCATGCAGGCTACACTGTGCGATGCGCTTGGCACAAGTCAGGCTATTCGTGTGGAGTTGCGAAGAGATCCAAAGGCAGCCCCATTCGTCGCCTTAATGGCAGGAATTGTCCATGATCGTGACAGTCCCCCAACAGTCTTTACCTCTTAGAGAAACAGACGCTGAAACCAGAGCAAGTGGAAAAAGAAACAGTGGTTCCTGTTTTGCTGAAAGTCGTTCTGGGAGAGAAGTCCCCTCTAAGAGGGCAAAGTGGGGTGGGAGATCTGCACGGGCCCTCGCTCACCCTGCTGGCCGCTGGGCTGCTCTGGTTCGGAATAGATGCAGGCTGTGGCGGGCAGGGGCCTGCACCTGAGAGTGGGAGGCTGAGCTCCTGCCCTCCCGGGATGCCTGCCTCCTCTGAGTGCACCAGGCAGCATGAGGCTCCCAAGAGGGGCACCCACGATGGTCTCTCAGGGTGAGGTCCTGTCCCTCCTACCTGCACCAAACCAATGCCTCTCAGGGACCAGGGCAGCAGCCAGACTCCTCATGCCGCGCCAAGAGCGACATGCGAGAGAAGGTCTTGGCGCAGCTCTTGCACTGGTATTTCTTGGTGTCGGAGTGTGTCTGCAGGTGGGCCCGGAGATTTGAACGGTCGGCAAAGGCCCTGCTGCAGTGAGAGCAGGCATAAGGCTTCTCACCTGGAGGAGGAAGAGGGGAGGACCAGGTGAGTGACTATCTTGGTGTCCTGGGAGGGTGAGCTTAGGGTTCAAATGCCTCTGTTTATAAATGAATAACTCAGCCCTCCCCCTCCAAATGCTCACTCAATTCCAATTAATTTATCTTCACTACCCCCTCCCTAGGACATAAGTGAAAGGAGCCTTAGCCCCTGACCCAGAAGGAAACACTAAGGCCAAGAGGCCACACAAGCGCCCAAGGTTGGGGCTGCTTGGAGACTGGGTGGAATGATGTACTTAACCCTTCCTAAGGGCAAAGGTCCAGCACGGCTCTTTACTTTGTCTACTGCAGCTGCTAGATCTTTCCGTTTCTGCCAGAGCTCTTCTAGGGCCCTTTGCCACCCAGATCTGGACGTGAGAAGCACGGGCACCTTCTGGCAGCTGTACCCACCCACTGAAAGCCAGTGGTGGAGACTGGGCAGGCCCCCACAGGAGGCAGGCTGGAAGGATGGCTAAAACCCTCATATCCTCCAGGCCACCAGGGATTTGGACAAAGTCCTTCTGTTGGGACTTTGGCTCCTAGGATGATTCTGACAAGTGTAAAAAGAAGGGTCAGTGAAAGTCGTCTGTTCTCTGCCCGTGTAGAGCAGCTTCCAGTCCTGCAGCCCTACAGAGTCCCAAGAGGCTCCAGCCTGCAGTCCCCACTGCCCCACACTCAGGCATGCTCCCAGCTAGTCCAGCCTTCTGTGGGGACTCCCACCCTCCTGGCTCCCAGAACAAGAGCCCTGAGCCTCTGATGATGTGGGACATCCTCAGAGAAGGGTCAAGGAAAATCGCTCTTTTCCAGTAAAACCTTTCCAGCCTCCACCCAGGTGTGACTCAGAGGGTTCTAGTCACAGAGCTGCGATTTAGGATTAGGGAGGCTCCCGTTACAGAAAGTGTGTGTTGCAACAAGAAAGTGTAGGTCTGTGATCAGGACCAAAGACTTATTCTGGGAGCTCCGTGTCTCTGTTCCTGTCTCCCACTCTGCACCATGTGCTTGACAAAGTCCCGGGCTCCAGGCGAAGTCCCGGCTGAGGTCCACTTGGGCTACTGGCTGCCCCTGTGCAGAGCAGGCCCCTTCCACTCTCTCTGGGCAGGATACTGTAATCCACAGCATGAAAAGGCCAAGGTTCTTAGGCTTCCTTCATCTCCCTCACCACATCCCTCTTCTTCCTCTGTGTCTGTCTTTGCCTCTTCCCCACAACTGCTCTTCTCTCCTTCATTTCCTCTGGGCTCCTGGCCACCCTCTCACCCGTGGGCAGGTTTGCTTCAGGTCCCCAAACTCTGAGTGAAGTCCCAGCTGTCATCTCTGCCCTTCAGATAGGCTGTGACGCCTGTGGTTCTTACTCCCAGGTCATGCCTTTCTCGCTCCCCTCTCCTCCTGTTCCAGAATTCTGGAAGGCCATGGAACGTGAGATGTCAGACCCTGCTGAAGCCCTGTGCACTCTATGCTTTGCTGGGTGTTATGAGTCGAATTATGTCTTCCAAAAAAGAGTCGTCCACGCCCTAAACCCCAGTACCTGTAGATCTGATCTTATTTGGAAAAAGGGGCTTTGCAGATGTCATCAGGTTAAGATGAGGTCATACTGCAGCTTGTGGGCCCCGATTCAATGACTGGTGTCCTTATAATGAGATGGAAATTTGGACACAGACACACAGGGAGGAGAGGACATGTGAAGTTGGAAGCAGAAGTTGGAGTGATGTGGCCACAAGCCAAGGAATGCCTGGAGCCCCCAGGAGCTAGAAGCAGCAGGAAGGGTTCTCCTCTAGAGCCTTTGGAGGGAGGCAACCCTGGGACACCTGGACTTTGGGCTTCTGGCCTCCAGACAGTGAGAGAGGACATTTCTGATGTTTTGAGCACCCTCTCCCCAGATTGTGGGTTTTTGTGCTACACCCCCAAGACAAATACATTGGAAAGCCAAAGCTATGCAAATGTCTATCTTTTTCATAAAGTCACCCCTCCCCTCTTTCTAACCTCCAGGTCTCACTCCCGCCCCCACCCAGATCCCTCTTGTGGACCCGATGCTGTCCTACCTGTGTGGGTCCGAATGTGGCCCTGGAGCAGCCAGGGCCTGGAGAAGGCCTTGCCACAGATGGCACAAATGCAGGGCAGCGTGTGCGTACGGATGTGCATTTTGAGGGCACCCAGGCTGGAGTACTCCTTGTCACAATACTTGCAGGTGAAGCAGCGCTGAGACTGCAGGTGGCAGTGCAACTGACGGTGCCTGGCCAACCCGGCCAGTGTATGGTAGGGCTTGTGGCAGTGGATGCACTGGAAGGCACTTGGGGTGCAGGGGGCCTGCTCACCTCCCAGCAGTCTGTCTGGAGCCTGGTCCCCATCTGGGCCCAGAATTGGGGGCCACCGCGTGGGCAGAACCAGCAATGGGGGCAGGCTGAAGTGGTTCAGGCTGTCTTTGAGGGGTATGCTCGGAGCCCGGCCAGCATGAGGGTCCAGCAAGCTGACTTCCAAGGGGTCTGGCTCAGAGGCCCCCGGAGCTTCTGGGAGGGGCAGGGAGATGCAGGTGATGACAGAGGTGTGGTCCCAGGGTTGGGCAAGGTCACCAGGAATGGGAGGGGTCGCCCTGTCCGGGAGGAGGAGGGGCACCACCAGCCCCCCACAGGCAGAACAGGAGCCATTGATTTCTAGAAGAGCAGAAGGAGAGAGAATGGAAAGGTGAAGACTCAGTCCCAATGTGTTCTCAAAATTCTATCATGGGTTCAATTTCAAGCCCATCTTCTAGGCCATCAGCAGCTTGGCATGAAGGGAACGGCCTAAAAGATGGAGGTGTCAGCTGGGGAGTGATGATGGCCTGGAAACCATGGGGTCTAGAGGCAGAATCTCAGTTCCCCTTTAAGGACAAAAATAAATACCTTACAGAATCCCATCACAGCCTTCACGGGGCCAAGGAATGCTCCCTCACTGCCGGGCAGTGGACCCTCTCTCTAGTCCATGTCCCACCTCAGGACCCATACAGTGCATCCCCAGGCTCCCATGCAGCATTAATTCAGAGCACTTGGCAGCAGGCCACCACATGTAAAGTCAGCCTCCAGCACCTCCCAATTCCACCTCATTACCCTGACATGGTGCACGCAGCCTCCTGGTCCAAAGGAGCTGTCCTCTGCCCTCAGCCTGTTGCTCCTGTATTTGTGGGCCAGCACACCCCATTCTTCACCCGGAATGGTAGACCCCCAAAGTAAACAGGTTAGTAGGTGAGAGTTGAATTCTGCATCTCCCCAAAGCCAAAATCTCCAAACAGCCTGCAACCCATTTCTTATTCCTTATGTGTTGAAATAAGTCTCTGGCCCCAGATTGGGAGAGGAGGGGGAGGGGGAGAGAAGCAGAGAGAGCTAATGGGCTGCGAGGCTGTTCTCTGACAGTCCATCACTGAGCCTGGCAGAGTTGCCCAGATTTACACGTTCAAATAATGAAGTGGGTGCACTGTATGACTGGGCTCTACACAGTGGTTTTTGAACTTTTAAAACTCTGACCCAGGTAAATTCAATTTTCCATCATATATATGTGAAACAAAAGTTTCCTTTATCTGGAGCACCATACTCTGATGGTTTCTGTTCTATTTTATTTTATAAAATCGCTGGTGGTGACTCTACCTTGGTTTCAGGACCCAGAAGTGAGGCTCCTGGTCCTGGAAGGCGCCCCCTGGTGGCAGCCCTGCCTCAGTACTGGTCAGAGACTACCTTCCCAGGCTGGGTCCTCAGAGCTCTAAATGCTCTGAGGTGCCCAGGCCTCCACAGTGTCCCTGCTTTGGCTCTCCCGCTCTGAGTCACCGAGCAGTCTCCCAGGGGGTCTTCGCCCCAAGAAGCTGCTGAGCAAGGGGGGACGGCTATGACCACTCTAGAGGCCTTTGCCCTGGGACCTCCCCGTGTCTCCATGCCCAGTAGAGAATGGGAATGAGGGGACAGTGCTGGACTCTGGAATCCCATCTCCCCACTGAGCACAGCGGGGAGAGGGTTGCAGCCCCTTAGCCCAGCCTGCTCTGGGCAACCTGCACTGGGGTGAGGAGAGGCCGGAGGGAGACCTCAGGAAGGGTGAGGAAGTCCTGGAGGAGCCCGTGAAACGCTGGACGAGCTGGGCCTTGGCACCATAGAGTCCATGGTCACTCTTCCGGGCCCCCGTGGTCACCACCCAAGCCAGGATGTCTCTCCGGAGCCCTTGGGTGGCAGCCCCAGGTGGCCCTTTTTGTCCCTTCCCACAATCCCTGGGACCCCTCCCAAAGCTCCTGCCCCAGGAAGATGGCTCCGGGTTCTCTTAACTGGGATGGGCGCCCCAGGCCATAGCGGGAGAGCCCAGAGTGATTGGGAGCCTAAAAACTTCTCTAAGCGGAGAGAGAATCCATACGCGCTCCGCCGGACTCGGACCACTTACCTACAGCCAACCCCGGGGCTCGGCCCCAGCCTTGGTGGTGAGCTACCGCCTCTCCTACCTGGGACAGATGTCACCCGCTCCCAGGGGCCTCTCCCTCCTGCCCCGAGGGAGCCCGAGCCCTGGGCAGGGGCTGGGGAGCCCGGCAGCCCCTACCTCTCTGCGTCTCCAGCTCCCCGTAGTTGGGGACCCTGTGGCTGGAGTGCGTTTTCACCAGGAAGGAGCGCGGCATGGTTCCTCGCGGGCGCGGGTCTCACTTGCGAGTCCACAGAAGGCGGGCCCGCAGCGCCGCCGCAGGTGCGGGCAGGGTCAGGCTCATTAGCATAGCGCTCCGGCTCGGCCAACCAGCACGCGGCGCGGCCGGGGCGGGGCGGGGCGGGACCGCGGGACAGGGCTTCGGGGCCACGCCCAGGACAGGTGCGCCGAGTGGGGGCAGGAGCGCGTGGCCGGCGTGGCCTGCCCACGGGACCTCCCTGGCGCGCGCCGCGAGTCACGTCGACCCCTGGGGCCTGATGCACCCACTCGCCGCAGACTAAAGGGCGGAGGTCAGGGCTGGGTGGAAGCCCAGCGGCCCCAGTGCACGCAGCGGCGTGGGAGCGAGCAAGGAGCCCAGCCTGGGAGAACCCTCGCCCCAGCCGGTTACACCCGCCCCACCTCCTGCTTAAACCCGCAACGGTAGGATTGATGAGCACAAGCTCTGAACTCTAAAGCTGACCCAGCTGATCAGCCATAATGGTGACCAGTGGGGTCGGCCAGCCTGGGCGGGCCGGGAACCCTTTCCCAGTGGGTCTGTCCCTCTGGAGACATTTCTTTAGGAGTTGGCCCCAGGTATCCAGAAAGCTCATTTGGTGGGAGAAAGGACCCAGCCTGGAATTCTGGAATTCCGGAATTCCAAGGGGTTCAAACATGTGGTTACAGGAAGTTTAATCAAAGAGGGCAAAGCTGTGCACTTTGCAACAGCCTGTCTGTGACTCTAGGCAGCCATGTTCCTCCTTCAGTGTCCTTTGGAATCCTCAGTGCCACAAAGAGCTGGGTGAGTCAGTGCTGGGTGTCTGGTCCCTTTTGATGTGGAGGTTTCATGAGTTCAGGGGTCAGATGGAGCAGTCTCTGGGCAGGTGGACACAGCGCCTGGCTGGCCCCCTGAGAGCCACAGGGTGTTTCTACTGCTGTGCAGCAGGCCTGCCTTACCAGCAGGGCCTTTTGAGGCCCACGTGCCCCACTGGTGCTCTTTGCCAGCTGCGGGCTTCGGGGGCACGGTAGTTATGGTGGTGGGTCTGTAGAAGAACCCATGCAGAGACAGTGGGAGGGAGGGTTGTGCCACACAGTGTCTCACATTCCCACAGTTTTGCAGATGAGAAAACAGGCTCTGAAAAGCTGGGAAGTGGTAGATTTGGGACCCAGGCCCACACTTTCAGCCTTACCAGAGGCGTGTGTACCCCGTGAGGGCTCATGGAAGGGCAGGTCCTGCACATACAGGAGAAGGCACAAGTCTCTCCTGCGGGCCACGGCCTGGCACCATGCTGCTACGCATGTGGCTTTCAGAGGACACGTGACTGCCTTCTGCTTATTCACCTGTTCCTGGGCCTCGAAAGGTTTCTATTTATACCCTCTCTTCCTTCTCTCTCCCCCTCCCAGACGTAGATAACACTTGCAGATACCTGGGCCAACCCTTTGCCCACACTGTCCTTCCTCACTCAGCCACCCATTGCATGGCCACCGGCCAAGATGACCTCCTTAATCCCCAGAGAGACGCTCTGTTATTTAGGGAAGCTGGAGCACTCCTGTGAAGAATCTGCTGATCTCATCCTGGAAACGCACCAGGGGTCCGAGGGTCCTTAGAGCACCTTTGGGTAGGGGCAATTGATTCTTCTCCTGGGGCTACCACAACAAATCACCCAAAGGGGAGTTTTCAGTCCCTACTAACATCTCAGAACTGCCCTCCCTTAGTGGCACAGACTGACTTTTGGTTGTGGGGACCCAAGTGGTACCAACATCTGCCTGTCCCTACCTATGCAGCCCAGGGAGGAGGTGCAGTTGTTCCTATCTGCTCTGCTCTGTGTCTTTCTGTCCTTAAAGGGTCGCAGTGCCTGGCAGTGAAGCCTAACGCCTCGCCCTGCAGTGGGAAATACATTTCTCACATCCCCCCAACCCCCTCACCCAGAGCAGGACTTGCAGGGAACCGTGGTCCACCTTTCCTTCAGAAACCACAGCAGTCTTCTCTGGGCGCCTGGGGGATGTCAGCTTTCAAAAGCCAGGCTGCTGTCCCTCCCATCTGCTTCTGTCAGAGTGGGAACCCCCATCCCCCTGGGTGAGGTGGGAGCCAGCCCTCGTTCCTGCACAGAGCCCGCATGTGCTCAGGTCCAAAGGGGGGGTTCAGGAATGCTTGTTGGACTAGATGGAAAAGAACTGAATCCCCAAATAGCACGGCCACGGTCATGCATGTCCCTGGGGGTTGGAGGGGTGAGCCCTTGTTTGTGCTCTCTAGTGCAGACACATGCGTGAAGGTACTAGGCCCCAGGGGTGAGCCTGGCACCAGGACTCTTAGAATAGTGCTCAGAACTAGGCCTTGAAGCTGGGGCTCGGCTGTCCCAGGCCCTGAGCAGATGGCCCTTGCACTGGGGGCACCAACCACTGTGACATTGGCCCCCTGTATCAGTGTGTGGAACATTCATGGAGGGAGGGTGGGCATGGTTGGGAAATCCTAACTTGAAGCAACCCCACAGCTGTCCAAGGTGATGGACTTGTGGAAACTTGGATCCAATGTTTCAGCTCCCAACAACCGGTCAGATAGGTGGCCAGTGTGTGCTTGGTCACCCCCAGTGAAGGGAAACTCACTCTGCTTACAGATGCTCGTTCCATTGGGGTATGGTTGTTAGAAGTGATATTGGTTCTTAGAGGTTCACTGGACATAACCTGTGTGATATGGGATTACTGAGAGGGGACATTGTCCCTCCACACACAGCTTATAAGGCAGGCAATAGAGGCCTTGATACCTTAGAGCTTGCCATAGAGTGTGATGTTGAATGATGAGGAGGGTCCTGGGGGCCAGGAAGATGAGAACTGAGTGGTGACTGGGCAGGGATGACCTGTGTGCATGTGTTATTATATGTGCATGCATGCAGACCTGTGTCCTGTACGTGCACACATACATTTGCATACGTGTGTACACGTGTGAGATCGCAGGAGCTGCTCCCATGTGATGCAGGGGTCGGGCATCAGCAGGTGAGCCCTGGCCTTGAATGGAGGGGTCTGTTGGTCCACAGCTCTGTTCCCATCTCCTTACTCCACTGAATCCTCTCTGCACTCTTCTCTGTCCACACGGGGGAGCTGTCCCCTCATCCCCAGCAGGTTATCTGAGAGACTCAAAAGGCCCTGTGTTGGGTGGTTCTCTCTCATAGTGATGGACTGGATGTCCCCATTTGCCGATCCGCCCTCAGTGCAGCGTCCAAACCTCAGCACATGCTGTCTCTAGTTAACTCGGTCAGTGAGCTGTGCTTCTCTTGCTCACCCAGTCACCAGGGCACGAGAGAGCAGCAAGGCTGGTCCTGTCCTTGAGGTTTGCTGGAGACGCGCCTCAGCTGGCTCTAACCTCCGCAGCAGCTTCCAGCCAAGGAGCTGAGCCCTGACAACCAGAACATGCCCAGGACTCCAGAATGTGCCTCCTGGGTCCTGGGGATCCTGTTGACATTTGGCCAGGCCTAGGGCAGCCTCTCTAGAAGCTGCAGACTACAGGATCTGGAGTCTCTTCAAGGCATACCCTGAAGGAGCCAACTGCGGATCTGACAGGTCCACTGGCCTGGCATGCTCCCCACCACGTAGAGCAGAACACCTGTGTAGGAGCCTGGTGGCTCTGTCCCCGGCCTAGGTCAGGGCACCAAGCTGGAGCTCACACCCGGTTCTTCCCTACTTTCCCTACTCACTGTGTGCTGACAATGAACTGACGACAGCGTTAGGGGCTGAAGCATTTGTCCTGAAAATATATTGGAGTCGTAACCCCATCATCTGTGGTTGTGGTCTTATTTGGATAGACAGTCTTTGCAGGTATAGTTAAGATGAGGTCATTAGAGCAGCCCCAGCCTAATGATAAAGGGGGAAATTCGGACATAGACACACACACAGAGGGCAGATAACATGAAAGCACAGGGAGAATGCCATGTGAAGCTGATGGGTCAGTGATGCATCTGTGAGCCAAGGATGCTGGAAGCTGCGAGCCTTGCAAAGGAAGGTCATCATGACTCCACACCAGCCCTCAGCTTGTAACATTCGCAGAATGAAACCTATCAGGCTGCTATAGATGCTTTGAAACGTTTTATTTTTTTTTTTTAAAGACAGCAATAATTTATGCCATGAACCAAACAAGAGTACTGACAAGCATTTTCTGGCCCAGTCCACCACTGCACAGCCCTGCCCCACCACCACCACGCTCTACCCCCACTGGGGGTGGCCCTGCCTGAGGCAGGATGGGGTCAGCTTTGGAAAGATAACAGTGGGGCTGAGGCCAGGACCCGGGCAGGAGGAGGCCCCAGAACAGCCCAGCAGCCACTGCAAGTGGCCAAGGCCAAGCTGAGATTTCTTCCAGGTCGTTATCAAAGGGAAATGACAAACCAACCACAGGAACCCTGGAAAACCCTGGGAGATCTGGGATGTGGCCACCTCCATCCTGTGTGCACAAGTGAAACTCCACGTTCATTCTGGCTCCGGCATTTGCCCCATTTCTCCTTCCCTCCCCAGCTCGATCCCACAACTGTTTGTTTTTGACTTTTTTTTAAAAAATATAATTTTGTAAATGTTCCATAAAAATACTATTGTTCCTAGTCAAACACAGATATTGCAATATGAAGAGTAACTGCTTTGTCTTTGCTCTATAAAATGTGAAAAGGTTATCACACTGGATAATATAGAAAAATGCCAGAATTTCTAGGTATCACAAAGCCAGTACCAGGTGCACAGGGGGAAGCGCTGCCAGACACCAGTGGCTGGCTGATGTCACTGGGGCTCCCCCTCTGCATGGGGAGGACATCATGGCTTTGAGAGAGACAGACAGCTGACTGCTCTCAGTCCCAACGGGCCGGCCCTGAGAGGGCCGCCTGCTTGGCCCGAAGCACCAAAGAAACCAGCCATGCTAGGCCAGGAGCACAGCCGGCCCTTCTCTGATGGAGAGGGGACAGCAGTCTCTCCTGGTCCCTGGCAATCTTGAGGACCACCTCTTCTTCTGAAATGACAGAGGCCCCACCTGGCCCACAAGGCGCATTCAAGTGCAGGCGCCAGGCCACAGAGAGCAAGCATGGCTCTATCCCTTGAGGCGGGAAGGTTCGGTCCTGGTGGCTGGGCTATACCTTCAGTTCTCGGAGAGAGACAGGGCCAGGGCGGCCTGGAAGGCGGCTTCTTCATCGATGCTATAGTCCTGGAAGACAGGAAGTGGCAATGAGCTGTGGGACTCAAGGCCCCAGCTGTGCTAGTGATCCCTCAGGACTACTTCCTCTGTCCGGTCACCCCAAACAGACCAGCAACACTACTTCCAGTCTCACCACTGCCCTTCAGCATGACTCAGGCCAAGAATGAGGCCCTGCAAAGTCACAGGGTCACTGCTGCCATGTAGAGAAAGCTCTGTTGGAGGTTCAAGTGCTGCCCACACGTGGGACCGCTATCTGGCATCTCCCAAGTTCTCCACATTGAGGGCTGCATGGGGTCCCTGCAGCTGCCCAGCAGACACCTTATCCAGCAGACACCTTGCCCAGTGGGCCTGTGGGAGAGGCGGACACTCAAGAGAAAGAGTTGTCCTTTTGTCTCAGATGTGAGAACTAGGGTACTGATATGAGCAGAGAAGCCAGAGAGCTCCATGCCTCCAACCACCAGGACCTTGGGGGGCAGACAGGAGCACGAGTAATTATCCCACACAGGCCAGGTACCTGGAGGCTGCAGGCTGGCAGGGACAGGACAACAGGGCTGGGAGGGGAAAGGGCTGAGCACGAGGAAGAGCCTGCAGAGGGTGTGCAGGCCTGGGGCAGGCACGGTTCCGACCCAAGCAGGTAGGAGAGGGAGAGCGAGTTGGAGGTTTTCAAGGTGGTAAAGTCCCCCTGGCTTTTCTCCAACCAGCACCTGAGGTGAGCCCATCACCCTCCACAGGCTCTCTGTTCTGGCAGGGCTGGGGCAATGTCCCCTTGCAACAGCCACTGTACCTGTGGCTGCCTCTCCCAGAGAAGCCCCCTAGCTCCCCCAGTATGAAGAAAACTCATGGTGAGGGACCCTAAAGAACCAAGGGACCCTCTAGCAGCCATGTAGACCTGACCTCCATCAGCACCAAACCTGTAGATGCTCCCACAGCAATATGGGGACGTCTTTGTGCGTTCAGCTCCCTTTGAATTATGAGCTGGTTAAGGATGGGGGAGGGGAGAGGACACGCACCACAAAGGTGTCGTAGGAAAACTTGTGCCGGTGGAGCAGGTGCTGCAAGAAGTTGGCGCTCTTGTAGCTGGGGTCACCCCAGGGCATCGCCGAGCAGATGGGGCACACCTGGAACAGGGGGCACGGGTGAAGCTGAGCCAGAGTGAGGAGCGAGCCCCCACCCTGGGGTCCCAGGAGGGCACTGTGGGTGGACATAGGGCTTGGGCACCCAGGCAGGCTGGCAGCGGGCGCTCACCACGCGGTTGGGATCGCTGCGGTGGTTGTCCACGCAGTGCTTCACCAGCTCCTGCTGGTCCAGGTTGCGGGCGCCACAGTAAGGGCATGTGAAGGTGGACCTGTTGGGGACGGCGCTGGGGCAGGGAGGGGAGGGGAGGGGTGAGCAGTGGCCTGGTTGGGCACTGCCAACCTTCTGGAAGCCCAGCCCCACTTGTACCAGCACAGGTATGCCCTACCCTCCTCTGGGCAGTGGGCAGAAAGGAGGCTCAGCCAGGGCCCTGAGGACCTTGGCCACGGTGGGACCCTCTGCCCTGTTCCCCTGCACACCCCACAGTAACTGCTCTATAGCCGCTTGCTGCCTTATAAACTCCTGGTCGTCTCCTTCCCAACAGGCTGGGCAAGCAGGGTGAGGACAGGCTGCCTGTCCTGAGAGGAGGTGTCTGTTCAGACCAGGCTTCTCAGGGGACAGCACTCCCCCGCTGGGAGGTGATGAATGAGCCTGGCATGGAACCTCCTGGGTTCCCCTCCCTGCAGGATGGAGAGACCCACCTCAGAGGGGATGCAGAGCCCCTCCCACTTCCTCTGGGCAGAGCATCACTTCCCCCACCTAGTGATGCAGACTAGGAGCTGCCCCCACAAAGGTCAGGGACTTAAGTGCCCCTAGTATGGTAGCCTACCTGGGAATAGGCTGGGATGTGGGCACCACGGGGACAAACTTGGGACAGTTGGCCATCTGCTCCTGGACCTTCATGCAGGAGGAAACGTGCACTCTCATCTTGGCCAGTGTCACCTAGGAAGAGGCAGAGCAGGGGTCAGGTGGGGGCAGCAAAGCCTCAGGCTCCATTGGACCAAAGGACAACCAGCAAGCAGGGCAGGCAGGTCCTGCTGCTGTTCATAGCCCAGCAGTGCAGTAAGCAGATTCTGGGGCCTATCACAGGGACACAGGGGCCCTGCTGGAGAAATGCTGCCAAGGGAAGGAGACAGACTTGAGACATGCTGCTCAAGGGACATGCTGCTGAGTTACACCCAGCAGTAGGTGCTTATTGCTTCAGCTGCCGCCTGGCAGGGGGCTGGCATCGGCCGTCAGCCCCTGGATGGGAGCACACCCCAGCTGGGGTTCCTGGGGAGCTGCAGAAGGGCAGGCAGTCTCTGGAGGCATGGGAAGTACATTCATTCAGGAAAAATGCCCCTTGTAACACGTACCAAACCAAACCCGGCATGGCCTTCTCCTTGGCTGCCTGAGTCACAAACTCTGGTGGGGGGGG